CTGCAAAAGGGACAACTAACAGGAGCTACCTCACACGGCTGTCGGCACAGTGTGAAGTGTTAGTACAATGCCTGTTATATATGATTGTCCACTATACTTTCACTATGTTTTTATTATTAGCACCATTGCTATTATCTTCTACTCTTATTCAATATTTGTGAAGATCATTGTGTCAAACGGATAGGAAACTTTCTTCTAACGTAAGTGGTAAAATAGCTCTCTTTCCATAAGCAGTTTTGAAAGAGTAGGAGCCATGTATGATTATGTCCTTTTCACATGGGCCAGGGGGCTTCTCCAGGCTGTTCAGAGCCAAAAGCACTGTGAAGACTGTCTCATGAAAATCTCACCAGCTCCCTTCCCAGGCCACCCACTGCCTGGCAACCTCCTTAAAAGGGGAGACGCCACATGTGAAGGGGGTGGGATGTTGGGGCAGGGTCCAAGGGAGCTTTGAGGAGGATTCAGTTCCTAGAGTCCTCTATGACCTTGGAAGTCTCCCTAGCCACGCTCTGGCTTGGAGCTCCCTGAAGTCTGCCTTTTCTGGAGACAGTGTGGGCGACACCTTTCCCAAAGGTGCAGAGAGCTGAAGCCTGGAGTGCCAACCTCTGAGTCACCATTTTATGAGATATCTCATTTCAGAACCCCCAACGAGCTCCCAAGGGTGGGGGACCCCGTTCGCTTCTGAGCTGTCCTGGCTCCTCAGAGACCAAGCATAGGGGGCAACTTTCCATGTTCCCCTCTGCCCTGTGGAACCCATTTTCTTCTTCTCCCTCCTCTCAGGGGCAGCCTCAGAACAGAGTGAGACAGTGCAGCCGGGAGATGAGATCTTACACCTGGCCGGCACTGCCGTGCAGGGCCTCACGCGGTTTGAAGCCTGGAACATCATCAAGGCGCTGCCTGATGGACCTGTCACGATTGTTATCAGGAGGAAAAGCCTTCAGTCCCAGGGGACCACAGCTGCTGGCGACTCCTAGGCAGAGCACCAACGCTGACGCCAAAGCCAACAGCACGCAGCTCCTCACAACTGCTCGTTCTCAGGGTCACTGCTAACCCACACCCACGTGGGGACAGCACCGGTGTGCCTCCTGGTGGCTGCTGCCCAGGTCTGGACCTTCTGGGACACCACCCAGTAAGAGGGTTGACCCAACAGTAAGGGCAGAGTCACATTGGGGTGACTGATACAAACTACAGACTATGTATAGAGAGAGCATGATGCTAATGTTGTGGTGCTGTAAATAAAATGGATATATTACAATTTGATCTGAAACCCATGTCCTGCTTTGCAGATTTTCTGAGTGCTATAACTGTGTAGCGATCCACCCCAAACAGCAGCATTTGTTTTTCTCGTGACTCTGCGATGTGGGCAGGGCTTGGAGGGGACAGTTCATCCTGCTCACTTGGTGTCAGCTGGAGCAACTCAAAGGCTGGGGGCTGGAACCACCTGGAGGTTGGTTCACTCATTCACCTGTCGGCTGGGAACCCAGCTGGGCGGTTGGCCTGAACACGCACAGGTGGCCTCTCCTTGTGGCCTGGGCTTCCCCACAACATGGTGGCTGGGTGCCCAGGACAAGTATCTCCAGAGAACGTAAGAGCCAGATGGGAGCTGCATCCTTTTTCTGACCTTGCCTCGGAAATCGAATAGCCTCACTCTGCTGTACTGTCAGTCAGAGCTGGCACAACGTACCAGGTTGAAGGGGAGGGGAAGAGTGCTGAGGCCATTTTTGGAAGATACAATCTGACACATTAAACATTTGCAAAACTGTTTTCGGTTGGGTTGGAGAAGTGCTCCTAGGGAAGGGTGGTACCCAGTGGTAGAGCAAGTAAACAAAGAGGAATACAGGTGAAACTCAGCATGGACAGGTGTGCCAACAGGATGCACCAGCACAGGGATGAGAGGGTAAATAAAATTGCTACCATTTACCTGCTGCGTGCCAAGCACTGTGTTGGTGGTAAGTGGACACTGTCTTGAGCACTCACAGCAGCGTCTATGGGGCGTGATGTGCCACTGTCTTGAGGGCACCAAGACCCAGAGGAAGTGACTCATCCAGCTGGTAAATGATGAGGCAGAGATGGAGTCCTTTCTTCTGTGATTTGTTAGAGACTAACAGGCCAAGAGGCTTTTAAGTGCAGAGCATTGTAGGGAAAATACTCCGAGTGCCTGACCAAAGGGATATTTGGTTTGGTCATCTCTCAATGCCTGACTGCCAAGCTCTGGATGAAGAAATGTACTAGCAACAACAGCCTTCCCTGCCCAGGCACCAGCTAGCCCTGCCCCAGCCCCTGCTCCTGTGAATGAAAATATGAGGAAGACCTGGCCAAGACCACAAACACAACTCGAAAAGTACTTGTTCCCAGGCCGGTGTCTACTAATGGGGACATGTTAACGTACTCTGGGAGCTTCTCCTGGGACCATAGGAAGCTAAGAATCTGTTTCCTGGCAGTGAACCCTTAGAACCCACCTGGGGTCTAATGTTCATGCAAGTCCCTTTAGTGATGTCATCACCGTGGGCGTCAGCTCTCTGGCCTATTCATCCTGAGAAATAGTGGGCTTAGAGTAGTCTGTGTCCTGCCTGTGGCCTCGTGTGTCCCATTCCGAATTTTGTCAAGCCCTAGAGCAGACAAGAACTTTGAGAGACCATTTGTGTCAGCTCTTTAGGTTTAATAGAAATGCCGAAGATGCACAGGATCTAACAATGAAAGATGTGACTCGATTCAACACCCACTCTGCAGGATCTCACTGTGCACCTGCCCAGGGCTGGGCAATGAGGCCACGGTGACTCAGAGGGCACACCCTGTCCCCACAATCTCACAGGTGTGCGCATAGTGACGACTCCTCTAATCAGGCAATTGTTTTGATCCCTTAGCAAGAGGCCAGGTGATGCATGTGGACCAGCCTGGGGAAGGAGAAAGTGGCTTTCCATCAGAACTGGGAGGGGGTGACATGGACGGGCACAGTGCCCGTGACAGACCTGGGACACGGAGAAAGCCTCCTTGGGAGACCAGGCAGACCAAGTGAGTGAGTGGGGCAAGGTGGTGTAAGAACTGGTGTAAGAACAGCGAAGGGTGAGCTCATGGGCCTCCCAGGGCCTCCTCTTGTCTCTGCAGGTCCCTCCCACCCCCAGCTTAAACTGGGCCCCTGAGGACGCTACCACTACCCAGGTTTCCAGCTTCCGGGCTGAGGGGGTCGTCAGGCCGGGAAGCAGCAAGAAGGTCCTAAAACGAAAGCTCATCCATTTGAGCCCATGATGCTGGGATTTACATGTGAGGTTTAGTTCTCCTCAGCCAGCTTCTTCAGAGCTGACAACAGGCACAGAAAACAATGCCTTTGAAAACAACGTTTTCAGTCATCCCCAAACACTGCCAACATCACAGCTAATAGTTGCGGATCCATGTTAACTCTCCATGAAAGTGAATCCACCCGAGGGCCTCTCCCAAGCAGCCCTAGTTCTTCACTTTGCACAGTATTTTACTGATTCATGCACAAGCTCATTTGTAGTGACTCGTAAGAAGCAGGCTACACTGGGATTGGTATTCATGTCCCTCTATTTTCTTTTAAAGATAAGTCAAAGCGCACAGACGTTAAGTGACTGTCCGAGAGCACAGTTTCTCGGTGGCAGGGCTTTGACCAGATTCATGTTTTCTGACTCCTAGTCCAGTGCTCAGACCAGTTTACCCCGATGCCAGCAGATGCACAATGCATCCAACAGGCCCAGGGAGACATGTCCTTGGGAGGCTGGCCTCCCGCCTGGCTAGATAGGGCTGCACAAGGTGGCCCCATCTTGGTAACACCCCCGCCTTCCGGCGTCTCCTGGGCTGGTATGCCCAGAATTGGCTGGACTTGGGATCAACTCATGAGGAGTTGATATAGAACAGTGCCAGGCACAAAGTAGGGACCCGATAAGTATTTACAGAATGAATGAATGAAATCTAAAGAAATTCAAGAGTCCAATGAAGATTTCTCGATGAGAAGAGGGAGTTAGCTGGATGATCTCGATGGCATGATGGTGGGATCTGTAGTCGCGCTGGAACACAGAAACAAGGGGGCTTTCTGCCCCTGGACACCGAGCTTTCATGTTTTGAAGCTTGCTCAGATCTTGGCACATTCAGGAGATGTCAACCCAGGACTGAAAGGTGGGGAAGCTATTATGACACAGGGGGAATGTTTTCCATTTGGAGGAGCGAAGGCCCTGGTCAGACAGTGCTGCTGGCGGGGTCCTGTCCTTCCACCCTTCCTGCTGACAGCAGCAGGGCCTGGAGGCCAGACGACTCCTGCCCCAGCCCTATTACAGAGGACAGAAGGCCAACGGCCTAGGAGCGAAGGCTCCTCAGAGTGCCGCCTGCCCGTGGGGCTCCCAGTTCTCACCCGGGGCTGAGGCTGCGGGTTTGGCCTGGGGCAGATTCAAACCACCTGGTGTCCCCGGCCAGGGGAACTTAACTCATGCAGGGAAAAAGAGAGAAAAACAACTGATTTGAATTGAAGAGACAATAAAAGGAATATTGAAAGTATTTTTCCTTAATGCTTGTCTAATTGTTTTAAACCATCATTTGGCAAGTTGACATCTTTTTAAGAGGGAAAATGTGGCCCAGCGTTATCAGAAAAATGTATACAGGGATCTGTGGCACCAGTCTCGGAGCTCTGGATGCTAAAAAGGCAGCAGAGCTAGGTTTTCAGTATTGATGGTGATTCTTTTTGACAAACGGAAACGTGGTCTCTGGGAGCCACTGGCATATAAAGGCTTTGGACCTGAGGGCATCACACGATGCCCAGGCTGAGCCCCCGTCAGGTGGCTGGAGGCCTGGGTCCACCCTGCCGGAGGAGGGTGTTTGCATAGTCAGCAGAGCGTGGAGCACGTGACCAGCTCCCCCCACACCAGCCCTGAGCGGAAGCAGGAGCAGAAGGGAGGCTGCCTCCAGCTGGTGTTCTCGAGATGGGCTGTCCACTAGGAGGTTCCGAAGGGTGCAAACGGGCCCTCGGGTTCTCGCAGGCTCTCCAGTGTCCCAACGAGTCGTGGCAGTTCTTGGCCGACAAATAAGAACATCAGTCTCAGAACTTCCTCACCGCCTTCTGAAGGTTGCTGTAAAACCCGGCCATACTGCGGGGGAAGAAGGAGTCCACCACGCTCTGCGGGAGGTAACCGCTGAGGTCAGTCTGGAAGAAGGTGACCAGGTTGGTCTTGTTGGGCTCCCTGTGAAAGAACAGCGGAGCTGCGTTATGCACCTGGGGCAGAGGTATTGGGGCCAGGTGTCAGGACAGGGGAGGAGCAGCCAGCCCAGGAGAAACGGCCATTACACAGAGATTCTGTCTACTCCCTTGCTGAGTTCACCGCCCAGGGGTGCCCTCTGGACCAGCTTGTTTTCAGGAGGGGACATATGTTCTCTTATTGATGCCTTCCACAGCCCTGCCAGGCTGTCAAGCAGGCAGGAGGCCCCACTTCCAGCCCACGAAGGTCGTTAGTTCCCTGTGCCTCGACTCCTTCGGCAAAGGCTTTTGGAGAACTCACTCTGTGCCACACCCTGGAAGGAACACACACAGAAGCTGCCCCCTTCCATTTCGGGCAGCGGTTCTCCAAACGCTCTGCGAACTCCTAGGGGTTCCTATGACCCTTTCAAGGGGTCTGCAAGGTCAAAGCCATTCTCATAACAGCACCAAGATGGGATCTGCCTTCTTCACTCTCATCTTCTTGGGAGAGGACTTCACTGTCTTCACTGGTGCAAACTTCCCAACGGTCAAGACAAAGGCGTGGGCTTTCCTGAGGCCATTTGGCATTTTACTTGAACAGCACTGTCAACAGCAGCAGAATCTCACCAGGAACCCAAGCAGGATGGCCCCGGCCCATCAAACGCTTCCTGACATCACAGAGGTCAAGGGCTTAGAAGTGGGGACCCTTTAGAACCCTGCCCCCTCCCAGGTGAGACCCCGAGAGGGGCAGCGGCCAGCAGATGCACAGCAGTGCAGGACAGAACGTGCTGCTCTGTGCAGTGGTTTTTCTCCTCTGCTCGTGCCGTCTCTGCACAGAGCATGGACTCTGGGGGAAGGGACTTCCTTACATCTCAAAGCCTCAGCATCATCCGGACTCCAACCCTTGCTCACCAACCCCTGCCCACTCCACCTTTCCAGGGACCTTCTCTCTCCTCTCTGCTCCCCTTCCCACTGGGCTAACTCAAGCCCTTCTATCTCTCAGTGGTGTCTTCTTTGGACTGGAAACATGAACAAGTAAAGGAGAAATGTTGTTCAGTGACCATACTTTCCTCTGGGGCAGCACCAGGCTTGTAGGAGGTGAACACACGACAGAGTGTGTGGAAGAGGCAAACTCGATACATTAGAGAGTGGCCACGGGGAACAGTGGTTCCTGCTTGTACATCGTTAACAGAATGGGCAAAAGGGGACTCTGAGAGGTGTTGGAGTCACCTGGTCCCTCACAGAGGAGGCTGGGATAGATGATGGTGGCTATCACTGTCTGTTGCAAGGATTAAAGAGAGCAAATGCGTAGAGCACTGAGCACACCTCCTGAGCACAGAGCAAGCGCTCAACAAATGAGAAGATCATGCTGCCTGACGACAAACGCAGAGCCCCACCTTGAGGACAACCAGGACCCAGCAGCTGCCCCCTCTCCACTGCAGCCGCTGAGCTCAGTCCCCACCCCCTCTCGCCAAGGCACCGCCTCGCCTCCTAACTGGTCCCCTTGCTCTCTCAAGAGCGCTTTCTCTCTTGATTCATCACAGCACTTAAAACCCAACTCCCACCACATCCTGCTCAAAACTCTCCAATTGTTCCCATTTTATTCAAGTCTTCACTATGGCCCACAAGGCCCTACAAGGTGTGGCCCCTGCTACTTCGTTGACCAAAGCTCCTAGCCTCTCCCCCTGCTCACTCTGATCCAGTACGACAGCCTCCATGCTGCTCCCTAAATGTCTCACACCATCCCGTCTCAGGGACTTGGGACCACTCATCCTCCGCCAGCAACGCTCTTCCCACTGATACGCCCAAGGCTCCCCCCATTTTGCGTTGCTTAAATTTTATCAGGGAGGCCTCTGATGCACCCCTAAATGCCTCACTTCCCTGGCACCTTTATCTGGCTTGAGTTTCCTGCAAAGCACTTAACGGCTGAGGATTCCAGTGTGTACGTCTGATACCATGATTGTGTTTGTGTTTTGACTGTCTCCCCTGCTCCCACTAGAATCTAAGCTCCAAGAGGGCAGACACTTCATCTGTTTGGAGGGGTCAATATCCAGGTTAAGAGCACAGATTCTGGAGTCAGATGCCTGGGTTTAAATTGTGGCTCTATCACTTCCTGGCTGTGTGATCTTGAGTAAGTAACATCACCTCTCTGTGCTCCAGAGTCCTTATCTAAAAATTGGGGATAATGACAGTACCTTACAGTTGTTGTAAGAATAAAAATGAGTTAACTGATAAAAGTGCTTGGAACAGTGCCTGACATACAGCAGTGCTGTGTGAGGTTTGCTGCGGCTGCTGCTATTCCTAAAGTCATCTGTTGAGTCCACAGCGTCGAGAACAGACCCACATTCATAGGATGACGGGAATCACCATCGGCAGAGGTTTCGGATCCCGTCGTCGTGAGAATAACTCTGCACATGGCAGACTCCGGCAGGAAGCGTTACTGGGACATAAAATGCTTTCAATCAGGCCGAGTCAAAACCTCCACAATAGCTGGTTTTGTGGGCCCCTTCTGGCCCCAACCACCCCATCTGCAAAGTCCGCGCAGTCACCTTTGCTACCTGACAGGAGGCGGGACGGTACTCACCCTACTGCGTGTTCTCCCAAAAGAATTCAGCCATGGAATCAGCCCCTAAGGAGAAAAGGCTTGGCCTGCTCCCTGCAAGTTCCTCTGTACAAGTACAGGTGTGTGTGTGTGTGTGTGGGTGGGTGTGGGGTGAGGGTACAGGTTTGTGTGTGTGTGTGATGAGGGTACAGGTGTAGGTGTGTGCGTGTGTGCGCATGCACATGTGTGCGTGCACGATGAGTGGCAGTGTGTTGGAGCCCCAGCTATGCTATTTCCAAACTCAGATTAACATAAGTTTCCACAAGATGTTTGAAAAGGCAGCTTAGCAAAAAGTGTTAGCCGGAGGCGCTGGATCTGGGTTTTAGCAAAATGCTGCAGCCCCCAGGCGCTCCTCCCGGGACGGTGTGGTGAAGGGAGACACTTGCCCTCCTGGGGTCTGTTCACGACTGCAGGCTTATGCTGGGACACGCCCTCAGTGTCGACCTGGGTGGTTCCCAGGATAAACTCGGACCTTCAGGTTATTATTACACAGAACGTTCCAGGTAAAAACCTGGCTGTGATCTGTGAGAAAACGGGGACGGAACCGTTCCTGGGCTCAGCTGTGGGGCTGACTCACGCTGTGCTCTCAGAATCTGCTTTAGCCCCTGAGCGCCTGCACCCCACTCCTCGTGCGGGGGACAAGCCCTGTGCGGATGTCGGGGCACAGCTAACCCCTCAGCTGCTCCAGGCTGGTGGATGGAGCTCAGAGAACACGGAAAAGACCTGCTGCTCAGGCACTGCACGGCCAGCCTGTGACCCCGCACAGATCACGTAAGCTCCCTGAACCTCAGCTTCCTCGTCTGCTAAAGGGGACCAGCACATCTGCCAGCCTGCCTGGGGCTTGAGGAGGGGTCCTTGCATCAACAATAATAACGCCTCCCCACAGCTCTTTCCCACGGGCCTAGGACGCTTGTGTATTACGTCACTTACGTGTATGACGGTGCTTTGTAACGGCAAGTCCTAAAGAGCTGTGAGGCGTCTTGATCATCACGAACCACAACTAACATGCCCGTTCAACAGAAGGTCCACGGCTAAGCCACAGTGAAGTCTGGGGCGTGTAATCCGGTCTAGGACATCATGCTTACCCTGGCACAGGTTCACAGAAGCAGCCACAAGGATGGTTAAATCCTCTCACGTAGCCTGGCTTCGGGGGACACAAGGGATGCTCCACGTTGGTAGCTGGAAGACAGAGCAAGATGGTCAGTGAGCTACAACTTCAGACAGTTGGGCCACTGCCGCTGAAGGGCCTTACTGGCGCCCACACTGCATGCAGACCCAATCAGCTGGGGCCTGAGGACTCGGCCAGGGGACCCTGCCACTCGGCCCTGAGCCCCTCCTACCCCCGGCCCACTTCCCTTAAGCTCACACACATACACACACATATGCTCACAAACTCACACACCCACATCACACACACGCACACACACAGACACACATGCAAACACGTTCACAGCTTCCCCAAACGTGCCAGAGTATTAGGGAAAAGAGCATTTCAGAATGGAATGCTTGCGTAGGAGGAGGAGGGTATCTCTGAAATCTCAGCCAACAGAGGTGTGTGTGTATCCACCTTCAGCCTCCATGGGGAGCATTCAGAGGGCAGCAGGGGCTGCAGCTTTCAGAAGGCACCATAAAACGCAAGCGGCAGGAACTCTGCTCCTCGCTCTCTCAGGAAGGCGCCCGTGGTTCAGGGACTCACCGCACCCGGGGGTTCTGAGAAGCCAAAGTGTAGCCTGCGTGTCTAGGGCACAAACCATGAGCCTCAGCAGAAATAAAAAGGGGTGCTGACCAAATCTGTGACTGAAAACTAAAGTTACTAGCATGTGACTCTCCCACCTGAGCCCTCCACGGCACAGAACCCCCAAACCCGGCAAGGCGAGGCACATGCAGAGACGGGGACCCAGGCTGAGTCCCCTGGTGACTTCCAGCTGGGCGGCTTCCCTGGAGGAGCTGAGCGGGTGTGGAGAAAGAGCCCAACGTCCCAGGAAGGCCCTGCGGCGCCCCGGCTGTCACTCACCGTTGGAACTGATAGTCCCATCCTCATACTTCTTGACCAGCGCCACATCCACAAAGTCTCTGGGAGAAATGAGCTTCATGGCGGCTGAGGGAGTGGCAGTTCTGGTTATGCACAGTGTCTGCCAAAGCAAAGGGGAGTCCAGGTGCATCTGATGGCCAGGCATCTTCTCCCACCACTACCCCACTTTGCGCTCATCAACCCCTGCCTATACCCCAGGGTCTGGAACACGCGAATAGCATGGACAGCAGGAGGGCGCTGTGAACTGGAGGGTCTAGAGTGCAGCCTCCATGTCACTGCAATACACCCGGTTGTAAAACCTACGGCTGTGACATGGCTGCCCATGGCTGATGAGGCCATTCTGAGCTTCTGTCTCAAAAGATTACAGGAGCTGCTATTGATTGAGCAGCTGGTAAGAGCCTGGCTGGACAAAGCTCTGTTGTCCCTCACATTGTGAGACATAGGTACCATTAACCCATGCGATAGGTGAGGAAACTGAGGCTTGGAGAGATGAAGGAATTCACCCTAAAGCTAGTGGCGGAGACATGATTTGAAGAGGGCCAGGCCAAGGGCAAGGCAAGAGAGGCCACTCCTTTCTAAGGCTGACCCTGCGCTTGCCCAGCCCTGTGAGCAGTACCTCCTTAAATGTGTGTCCTGGGCAGCTTTCTGCTTTCCCCTAGTCCCGGTCCTGGGGGGAGCACCCCTTGAACCTCACATCTCAGAATATCCCAAGTCCACTTTCCCACTTTGTAAGCCAAGACACCGCAAACCCGTCCTGTGCTTTACCCGTTCCCCGCCCCCAGCAGGGCCCCCGCTCTCTCAAGGTCACAGTGGAGAAGCACAAGTCAGGCCCCAAGTCAGGCCCGCGGCCGGGACAGGCCTAGGAGACGCCTGGTGGCGGGCGAGGAGGGACTGGAAAAAGTCTCTGTCTTCTCCCTTTGGGTATTAAGACTCGTGGCACCGTGTGTTGCCGAGAAGCTTTTGACCTTGGGGTCCGAGTCTTCAAGGTGGGCGTGTGATCCCAGGAGCACTTGAGCGCTTTCCAGTGGGCGCACTGGGGACCAATGTCCAGACGACGCCACACCCATGTCCTTCTTCCTAAAACGACCTGCCTGTGAACGGGCGGCATCTTGATGCAGGTTCTCCTCTCCCACTTGAAAAAAGGCACCACAGACCCCATCCCTCTGGAATCTTCCTACCACACACTGTCCCAGGGTGTAAAATCCCCCAGGTGCCAATGGGACACTTAGGGATGCTGATTTCAATATTTAATCAAGGCACTACACGCTGGAGTGAGAACTTCCTGTTTTCCCCTCTGAAGCATATTCTTCTTAAAGGCTCAAGTTTGCTGTTAGAAACAAGGTAACTTTGCCTTCTCTGAATTCTAATATTTTGTAGTAGGAATGGCAAAAATGATGACAAAAATATTTTTTTTTAATAACTATACGGTTCCCACTCCTTACTGCTGCTGCAAAACATGTCATTCCCGAAGGAGCGTCTGGAGACCAAGATGAAGACACCACTGGTAAGAAACACATGGTACAAATGCAACACACTCACGGCACGGCTGTGTCTTGTCTGCCCATCCATCCATCTTAGAATTAAAATATTTGAGATTTGTCAAAATCATGTTGGTAAATACCAATCTGCAAGGAAGGGCCCTTTCTCTGTATTTTCATTGTTTCACTAAATGATAAGCAGCCACCACCTGTCAGCTGCTTCTGCTTTTTGGGAACTTAAGCTTACTCTGTGTTTTCCTTTCTTTGCAGTTAGCGTCTGTTGAAGGCTGTATCTTTCTAGCAGTAAGTCAGATCTTTTCATGGACACATGAATTAATTAGAAAAAGACCTCCCATTCACCTCAATGAGAGACGTAAAATATTTTTTTGGGGGGCCAGCCCAGTGGCGTGGTGGTTAAATTCAGCACACTCTGCTTTAGTGGTCCAGGGTTCACGGGTGTGAACTTATACCAGGCGTGGACTTACACTACTCATCAAGTCATGCTGTGGAGGCATCCCACACACAAAATAGAGGAAGATGGGCACAGATGTTAGCTCAGAGCCACTCTTCCTCAGCAAAAAAAAAACCCTTTACTTTTTATGTTTGATAGCCCTT